AGAAATCCTGCTCAACATTGTTCAAGTCATTTTGTAAATGGATGTTTTTATTCCACTAATTAGTGGACTTATTGTGTCAATAATCTATATGTTTAACATTGTTAGGAGTTAGCACTTTTGGCACTGTAAAATGTTGTCATCCTTTTTGTCTGTACTTCATATCTGATGTACTTTTTTCCTGTGGTTGTTAACAAATTTTTCTTTCTCTTTTTGAGTTTTCAGTAATTTGAGGATGATGTTCCTAGATGTGATTTATATTTACCCTGTTTGACATTTGCTGTTACTTTTGGATGTGTACTTTATCTTTTTTCATTAAATTTCTGAAATTTATGACTAATATTTAATTTTTTTTTCTGCTGTGATTTCTTTCCTTCTGGAACCATAGTTAGGATGTTCTTAGATTATTTGATATTGTCTGACAGATTCAGCAAACTGTTAATTTTTATTCTTTCAGATTGGATAATTTTTATTTGTCTGATTTCAGTAATAAAATTTTCAGTTCAGAAAATTCCAGTTTTAACTTTCAGAATAGTCATTTGGTTCCTTTATTTTTAAATTGAGGTAACATTGGTCTACAACACTAAGTTTCTAGTATACAACTTCACACCTTGACTTCTGTTTATACCATACCACCAAAATTGTAGTTTACTTCTACCAGTGTACTATTGACTCACTCCTCCTGTTTCCCTCTGGTAACCACCATTCTATTCTGAGAACATTCTATTCTCAGAATCTTAGTATCTCTCTCTCTCTCTTAGGCTTTTGTTTGCTTTATTGGTTTGTCTTCTACATATGAGTGAGAACATACACTACTTGTCTTTCTCCACTTATTTCATTTAACATAATTCATGCACGATTCATCCATGTTGTTACATATGGCATTATTTCATCTTTTTTCATAGTTGAGTAGTATTCCATTAGGTTCCATTTTATAGTTTCCCATTTTTCTACTGTGATATCCTGTTAATTGATATTCTACTTTAAGTCACCGAGCATCATGACAGATATTTTAAGACCTTTTATGTAAAATTCAAAAAGTAAGCCATCCTGGGAGTTCATTATGCTTTTGAAATAAGATCAGGAAGAGAAGTGCATAGGATTTCATTTTCTCATTTTACCAATCAGTTGCAGTTGTTCATGTGCTGTTATGTAGGGTTTTTGTGTGTGTGTTAAAAATATTTAATAGTCATTACAAATAGATGTTAAAAAGTCAAATAAGAAAACCTAATAATATGTAAAGACCTACTGGCCTCAAAGAAATAACCAATTGTATTTATAGTGAAGATACTCCAAAAAAGAGAAAAATTCCTGTGAGCATGTTATGATGTAGAAGAGTTTAAGAATATGAATCTATTCCAGCAAAGCACAAATTGTGACTCTTTAAGCAACTTACTGATACTGGAAATAGAAAATTCTCCTACTAACAAGCAAAGGCACAAAGCTACACCATGTAAGAGCTCAAAAAGTAAAAGAAAAACAGTTGAAAATTGAGGAAAGTCCTACAGTTAGTTTCAGTATGTGAAAGAGACTGAATATGGAGGATAGGAAATAATTTTTCATAGGGATTAAATGATACCCATGAATTAGGAACTGAATAGAATGAGAACAATAAATTAAAATATAAGGAAATTAATTTGCTCAGACCTGTAATTGAAGCTTTTTTCTTTAATTCACAAGATATATATTTCTAGTAACACTTTTTGTGGTTTTGGACATACGTCTTAAGTTTTTTATGCAAAAAGAACTTAAGAATGGAATTGTTTGGTCACATGAAAGCTATGTTTTGTTTTTGTTTTTTTTTTTTTAAAGATTTATTTATTTATGCATACAGAGCTGGGGTACAGGTCAGATGGTGCAGGGGCTGTGCCATGTGGATCACCTCTGGATGGGGGATCAAACTCATGCTGAGGTGGCTTTAGCTTCTTAGTGCTGTGCTTTAACCTGCTGTGCCACCAGGGAGGGTCCTTTGTTGTCTTTATTTTTTTTTTTGTTAAAGGTTTATTTATGCATACAGAGCTGCTGTACAGGCCAGAGAGGTGTAGGGGCAGTGAGAGGACCCACCAGAGGGGGAGTGGGGAACAGAACAGGCTGATTGAGGAAGCACATTGCTGAGGGGAGCAGTGGGCGGCTCAGGAGAGGTCTGCTACACCACCTATGTTTTATTTTTTAATGAAATGCTGCAGTTCATTTCAGCAGTGTATGAAAAGTTCAGGGTTTTTAATGTTCATAACACTTAGTATTTTTCTTTTTCACTGAAGCCATCCTAGTGGGAGTGTAGTAGTTTCTCTTTACATTTTGATCTGTGTTTTTCTAATTACTAAAAATGTTCAGCATCTTTTCATATGTTTATTTGTCATTTGGGTGGTATCTTTGAAGAAATATTCAGTCAGATCCTTTGCATGTATTTAAAACTTTATTATTCATTTGCAAAAGTTCTTTTTATATTCTAAATTCGTTTCTTATCTGATAATTGAATTGTAAACATTTCCCACCATTCTGTGGTTGTCTTTGTATTTTCTTAATATAGTGTCCTTTGAAAACAAAAAAATTTTTAATTTAATAACTTCTAGCTTAGCCATCATTTTCATTGGTTGCTTGTGCTTTTGGTGTCATTACCAACCATTACTTAATCCAGTATTAGGAAGATTAACTTTTTTTTTAAGTATCTTATACTTGTGTAGCACTTATATTTTGGTTTTTGAACTGATTTAATTCTTTTTCATGTGGATATCTCATTCTCTTAATACCATTTGTTAAAAGATTATTCTCTTACTGAATTTTGTTGACACAGTTGTCAAAAATCAGTAGATTATAAATGGAAAGGTTTATTTCTGTACTTTTCCAAAAATAATTCTGCACTAATTACCAAAGTAATTACTCTGTAAGTTTCAAATTCAGAAAGAGTGAATTTCAACCATGTTCTTCTTTTTCAACCTTATTTTGCTATTTTGGTCCCTTGCATTTCCAAATTAATTTTAGAATCATAATCGTACTTGTTTCTGCAAAAAAGGAATTTAAATTTTAATAGTAATTACATTAATCTGCTGATCAATTGAAGGAGCATTGCCATATTAATTATTAAATCTTACATTTTTTAAAATTTATTTTTTTATGCATGCAGAGCTGGGTGCAGACCAGAGGTACAGGGGTGGTTTGAGGATTCACCAGAGACAGATTGATGAAATACACTGCTGACAGGAGACGTCTCCTGCGCCATGTGGGTTATGTCCTTGTCTGGGAATCAGACTGGCTGAAGCGGCTGCAGCCAGCTTCCTAGTGCTGTGCTTTAACTCATGCCACCAGGGAGGGCCCTACATCTTCCAGTTCTTAACCATGGATGACATTTCATTTATTTAGTTATACTTTAACTTCTTTCAATAATATTTAGTAGTTTTCAGTGTGACATACTTATCTGTAAAATTCATGCATGTACTTTAATGTTACTAATGCAGCCTGGAACAACTTTCATTAAAAGTTATCTATTGCCATTACATATGGGTACAACTGAAATTTGGATATTGATTTTTTATATCTTATAATTTTGCTGAATTCATTAGTTTTAGTAGTTTATGATAGCTTTTACTTTTTCCTTTTCACTGTTTTTTTACCTGTATTAATTTTTGTGTTTAATACAAGTTGATAGTTTTATGCTTATAGTTTCCATATTTATTTCATTATTTGAATCAAATTATGAGTTTAGAAATATTGCTAATCCTAAAGAAATCAGGTTGTTTTTTTGAGGCACATTGTCTTTATTTGTAATTTTAATTGATGGCTAAATCGATAATCCTATGTTATCTATTTATTTTTTTGAAAGATTTATATTTGCTTCATGGTGTATACAATATTATAGTATAGGCCAGAGGTGTGGGGAGCTGGGAGGATTCACAAGAGACAGTGTGGGGAGCAGAACAGGCAGATCTACTGAAATACAATGCTGAGGGGAGCGTGGGTGAGGTAGGAGAGGTCTATTGTGCCATGTGAGTTAGCTTTTTGGGTAGAGAGATTTTAACCTTTGTGCCATCAGGGAGTCCCCCAATGTTAGCAGGTTATTTCTGAATAATGTAAATCATTATTACAAGTTTTATAATATTAGAATCATATTGGAAGGGTTTTTTTTTTTTTTGCTATTTGAGGAATCAGCCTGTGAAAATCTTTGTGTATGTTTTAGGTTATTAGCATGCAACCAGGTGGAAACCAGGGACCACAAATGGTTAAGGGGTGCATACTCTAAAATAGATTCAGCTATCTGTGTGCACAAAGACAAAGGAAGCAGACTCCTAACATGATAGATCTTTAATCAAATTAGTGTGCATAGAGAGAGAAGACTGGATATTCTTAAGTAAAGTTTACCAATAAAACACTCAAAATTACCCATCCTCATGTTAGGCAAATGCCCAGTCAAACAGGTTTTGCTCAAATTGGTACTACTGAGGCCCAAAAGCTTGCCACAAGTCTAAGGGTCTTGCTGGTGGGGAACAGCAAGAAATGAATCCAAGGTTTTCTAGAGCTTTAGCCCAGTTACCTTTGTATTTCCTGAAAAGAACCTATTATTAAATTTCCCTTATACGGCCCTCCCTGGTGGCACAGCGGGTTAAAGCACTGCACTGAGAAGCTAAAGCCACTTCCGCACAAGTTCAATCCCCACCTGCCTGGAGGAGACCCACATGGCGTGGCAGACCTCTCCTGACCTGCCCGCTGCTCCCCTCAGCAGTGTTCTTCGTCGATCTGCCTGTTCTGCTCCCTACTCTGTCCCTGGTGAATCCTTTCACCCTCCGCATCTCTGTCCTGTACCCCAGTTCTATATGAATAAATAAATAAATCTTAAAAAAAATTCCCTAATTGTGGGCTGACTCAGATTCATAAGAAATAGCCAAGAGACTATTTAGCTAATATTTACTATTGAAGTATGTAATTTTCTTTGTTCTTGAAAAAAAATATCATATATGTAGTTTTTTTTTAATCATTGATTTTTAATCTTTTTGCTTTTTATATGCTAGATATAACCAGGAAAAATCCCAGAACACCTCTTTCTGATCTCCAGGGCATGAATACTCTGAATGAAAAGAACCAACAGTAAGTATGTTTAATTTGTGTTCACAAGGAAATATAGAAGAAGTAACTACCATTCCCATTGATTCTTTTCTGGTTTTAAAAATATGAAAAAAAGCAGACCTACTTGGCTTTTTATTTTTTAATGATTTTATGAAAGATAAATATGTTAATAGGGTTAGAGTTAATAACACTATTAATACTAAATTATCTAACTTGAGTTTGGTAAAATGGCTGTACAATTAAAAAAGGTTTTATTAGAATAATTTCGGAATAACTCATATATTTAATTTTCTGATACCCTTGCAGTTTATACTTTTTGCAAAACTCAAGGGTTATGTTTTTTTTTCCTGTGGTAAGTAATAATTGAGTTGTTTGATTACATCAGAATTCTAGTACCTTTCTTAATTAGTGTGATCACCAAAGCTTATATTTTATTATTTTAAATGAAGAAATCTTAAGTGAAATTGGTAAGTAATAAATGATTTTCTGAATTATCAATAAAACTCACTCATCTTTACTCATAAAGATGAAAATTGTATAAAAATTGTACTATATTTGTGCAAAGAGCATCGTTTAGTGAGTGTCTACATTGTATACACATAAAGAGAATTGAATTGCTTCGTCCCCTAGGATGGTCTGCCATTAAAATTAATGTAATCTTAATTGATCATTTGTTCTAATTTGAGTTACTATGTCTTGTTCTGTAAGTTGTTTCCTCTCTGCTTGGTAACTATAACTTTATTACTTGTTTAAAGAAGTTACTAGTTCTCTCCTCATATATAAGAGTTGTCACAACGCAAGTATATACTCTCAACTATATTTATCTTAAGTGCCACGAATTTGAATGACTTTCTGTTTTTATAGTGTATGCTGTGAAAATTGGCTTGTGATGGAAACCATCACTATATTTGCATGTCATATTTTACGTAATAACAATTACATCATTAATCTGATGACCTGTATACCTTTTACTGGCAGTATTGTCAGTTTGGTAATTAGAGGAATTTTCCCTTCCCTTTTTTTTTTTTTTTTGTCTTAAATTAAAAAAAAAGGAATTTGTACCCAGCCTATTTTTCAAAAACAGTTTAATGGTGGTAGCACTTTTAATTCCTACTTTGAGTTTCTTTGTACTTTAAATTTTGGATGTCTTAAGTGATCTATCTATATGGGCTCTTGTTTTTTATGCATCAGATACTATAGTTTGGTATTTTGCCTTAAGATTCATGTGTTGCTCTGTTACTCAGGGAATTAATTGAATGAGGCACTCATGGAATAATAAACTAATTTTGTAAAGGTATGTGATCATTTATGAGACCCTTCATTGGGAACATTGAAATAATAAATAATAGTTGACATTGAAGTAATGTTAGATGTCTACTCTATAAATGAAAATACAATTACTGAAACTGTTTTTAGCCAGTACTAAAGTAGGAGATAAAACTATTTATTAAAGTGCAGTAGAGCTAATAGGTATTTCTCCAAACACATGCAGTTGGCCAACAGACATGAAAACATGCTTATCATCACTTACCAGGGAAATGCAGAGCAAAACCACAATGAGCTTCTCACTCATACCTATGAGAATGGCTCATATCATCAAAAACTACAAACAACAAGTGTTGGAGAGGGTGTGGAGAAACAGGAACTCCGTTACACTGTTGGTAGGAATACAGACTTGTCCAGCCCCTGTGGTAAGAAGGGTTGAAAGTCCCCAAGAGTAAAAATGGATTTACAATATGTCCCAGCATTTGTACCCCTAGGTATCTATCCAAAGAGCATAAAACCAATAATTTGAAAGGAAACTGTACTCCTATGTTTATAGCAGCACTGTTTATAGTAGCCATGACATAGAAACAAACTAAATGCCCTAGGATAGCTGAATGGGCCACAAAGATGTGCTACATACACACAGTGGAATAATACTCAACGATCAAAAACATAAACTTGTGCTGTTGTGGCGATACGATGAAACTAGAAGGGGTCAATTTAAGCCTGAAGGAGAAAGATAAATGCTGGATGGTTTTACTTATTTATTTTTAAATATAATAGTTTATTTTTACATCATTTTGTACTTTTTTTTTCTTCATCTCAGTTTTAGTCCCTGTGGGTTTCCCATCACCGAGTCACCCATTGGATGGTTTTACTTATATGTAGAATCTAGAAAAACAAAGAATCAAGCAAAGATAAATTGTTAGACTAATTGCCTTGTAAGCAGATACTTTGATCTGAGATACTCAAGAAGGAAAGGAGAGTATCTCGAGAACAGGGGAGATAGAGAACCTGGTAGTGTGGTGGAGGATTATGAGTACTTGCGTGGTAGAAAACTATTTCTAGTAGTTTGAGGAACCTTCACACAGCTTTCCTTAGTGATTGGGCCAGCTCTGTATTAGATTTCCGCCAGCATTTTATTAGATTTCCTTTTTCTCCGTATCTGTGGTACATATTAAAAAACTAGCAACAGCAAATGGAGATAATTTCACTTGAAATTTTGAAGATTTTACTACATTGTGTTTTATTTGTAGCATTGCTTAATTTTGAACTCCTTTATTTAAACAGCTTTATTTGGAGTTGTCCCATACAATTCGGTGTTTGGGATAGTGCTTTATTTTTTTTTTTAAGATTTATTTATGCATATTATAACAGGGATGTAGGCCAGAGGTGTGGGGGGGGGGGTTGAGGGTGGGGAATAAGAGGATTCATGAGAGACAGAGTGGGGAAAGAACAGGCAGATTGACTGAAATAAATACACTGCTGAGGGGAGCAATGGGCAAGATAGAAGAGGTCTGCTGCATGCACCATGTGGAGTCAGCTCCCTGGCCAGGGATCAAGTTAGTGTTGCAGTGGCTGGTGATAGCCTCACAATGCTGTTCTTTAATCCATTGCACCTCCAGGGAGGCCCTGTGCTCTCATTTCTAATCCACCTTTTCCACTGCTTTTAGAAGTTCTTGGAACCATCCACTCTGAGCCTTTTGGGAGTTTGCAAAACAAAAAGGAATGCTTCTCAGCTCTCCACTTTAGGATTGCTTCTTGGGTCCTCCTGAGAAAGTAATCTGCTTTCACATGCATATTTCTAAAATGTCTTAGTGTTATTTCTTAGCACATTTTCTTAATCTTAAATGTTTATTCTTTAAAAATTACTAAATCAGAAGGAGAAAGACAAATATTGGATTGTTTCACTCATATGTAGAATATCAAGAAGCAAAGGAACAGATAAAAAACATATTGAAACAAACCCTTCAAATATGACTGCAGAACTGAGATTACTGGAGGGGGAAGAAGAGTAGGTAAGGTGTATAAAGACAGGAGGCCATTGGACAATAGTTAAGGACTGACTACTGGGGATTTGGTGATGGGCCTGGTGTAATAATGTCTATTTGTAGGTCCATGAACCCACATGCCTAAAAGATAGGGTTGTAAGCCAGTGTCAGATGTTATCTCAATAATCACAAATTTTAAAAAATTAATATTTTTATGGGTTTATGGAGAAACCCAAGTTTGTGTCCAATTTGCTATCTTTACTGGTAAAAAACCCTTTTAACTATTTTGTAATCACTCTAATTTTATCTGTTCTGTTTATTCCTTTATTTCCAGGGCTTAGAATAGTTCTTAATTTTAATGGACATGTGCTTATGAATGTGTGTGTGTGAATAAGACCACCTAGATAGAAATTAATATTATGCAAATTAGGAAGGCCTGTTACGATTTTAACTCTAGTGCTTAAGTTTTATTTTACTTATTAAACAACTTAGAGTGTTAATTAGAGATGTCTCAAGGAGCTAAAACAAATTGTACCATTTTAAATTTTTACAGTGATACATTTGATATTGCCTGGAGTGGCAGAACTGGGATTCGCCAGAACAGACTTTCAAGTAATACTTCCCTACTTGATAAAGAAGGAATATTCACTAATTCAGCTAGCAGCAAACTCTTGGAGAGAGCTCATGGAATTCTCACGTTAGTATTAATCAATACTGTAGATAGTTTTTGATGACTTGTTTCAAATTTCTGGCTAAATAATAAAAGGAGTGGTAGTAAAGTATTATTTTCATGAGTAGATTTTTGAGCGAAGTCAGTCTTCAAAATGGTCAGTATATTTAGAGTTATGAACCTCACACATTGGAAAGGTGTTTTGTTGTTGTTGTTTATTTTAACTTCACCAGGAGAATTATGGTTGCATTTACCCATTATGGAGATGATTCTTTATTACTTTTTGACAGACACTACATCTGCAGAGAGAAGAAGCTGTTAGCTCTTTTTAGAATTCCTAGTGTTTAGCTGAAATGATCCTTTAATTCTGACAAACCTAACAAATTTGGCATGAAAACCCCCTATAAAATGGTGAATGAGACACCATGTATTGTGGTATGTAATTCTTAAGCAGGTCTGTCCTTATTCATTACCTGATCATAGAACTGGTATGAGGACATAAATATAACCATGCATAATTGGCTAGTAAAATGCTTTTAATAGTTACCACATCATCATATTTCAGATACTTTCCAAATATATTTTCTTGTAACTTATTTAAAGATGTGCTTAAATTCCTTAATCCCCTCCTAAGTCACTGCTAACAATCTTAATAATTAAATTTTTGTAAGTTTTGTTATATTCCAGATTTGTGAATTAACTCAGTTATTCTCTATAACTCTTAAGAAGTTGATGATACCTTCATTTTATATTACAGTTGATTCTTAAACAACCCAGGAATTAGGGGTACAAAGTCCCACAATCAAGATTTGCATATAACTTTGAACCCCATCAAAACTTAATTGCCTATTGTTAACCAAGCCTTACTGACAACATAAACAGTTAACTAACATATCTTTTACATGTTATATATATTAATACTGCATTTTTATAATAAATAAGGTATACTAGAAAAAAGAAACTATTACTAAGAAAATCATAAGGAGAAAATACACTTATAATACTATACTGTATTGATACACAAGTTTACATGAAAATACATAAGTGGACCTATACAGCTCAAACTCATGTTGTTCATGGTTAATTGTTATATAATGAAATCAATGTCTAATTCAATAGTTAGAGTTTAGATTCCAGCCCAAGTGTTTCTCACTCAGCCTATATTCAGAAGCATTGGGCCTTATTCCCTTTTTTTATAGCCTTATAAAAGTATTGATTGAATTATTTTATGGAGTTATTAAAAAAAAAATTTAATTTCCAAAAGTAGGTAATTATAAGTTTTAGTGAAAAGCACTTTTTAAAAAATTCATTAAGCATGTATTTGAAACCTTGAAATGACAGAAACAAAACTACTGTGGCTTATAAGAATGCTGAGTCCTACCAACATTTAAAAAAAACACTTTTATTTTGAATATATAACACTTGTTAAATCTGTTGACTCCTTTGTAACAGAGCAGGCATCTCTTTCTCCTCTTTTCCTTGCTTTCTTTTTTTCCCCCAAACATGCCTGCTTAGTTGAATCAGTGTTTCCATAGAGAAGATCTGTATATTGCAAATGTATACCTCTTCTTTCATTAGAGACCTTGAAATCATTCATTTCTGCAGTAACTTTTTATAATGGGTGATTTGTCTCCTTAGGAGAAACAGAAACTTCAAATCCAAGCCTGGCCTTCCCAAGGTAAGTTTGGAGAAACTCTTTTCCATTGGAATATTAATTTTTTTATTACTCATGAAGACAATCTTTATAAGTCAAAGATATAACTATTTGTGTCTAAAATAGACTAGATTAATTGCATGTACTCAATTAATCTAGTCTATTTTAGACATTTTAGAAATAACACTGGGTGATCTGGCCAGCCTTAATGGTTCAGGTAAATATTATTTGTGATATAACTTATTTTCTAGGGTCTGAAAAGCATCTGAATATAAATGTAAATTTTTGTTTGATCTTTACATAAGATCTTTTAGAGTCAGGTTAAGATCAAATTTGAATTTTACTAGATTTTTGAGTAATTTCTAAGAAATACTTCCTTAACTTTTGTCATCATTATCCTGAGGGGAGCAGCAGGCAAGGTAGGAGAGGTTCTGCTTGGGCCATGTGAGTCAGTTGCTTGGTTGAGATTGACTCCTCCTGCTGTGGTTAGTGGCTGTGGTTAGTTAGCTCATAGTGCTGAGACTTAACCCTTTGAGCTACCACGGAGGCCCTGTAATTTCCCTTTTAGCTGGTAAGTTTCTACTGGAAAGCAAGAGGTTAGAAAGGATCTTGATGTTGAATATCAGTCTTCCATATTTAGCACAGTCATTATAGATACAAAATAATGAAAACTGGTGTAATTTTGTTTTTCCTGTTATTTTTAATGTGAAAAAAAATTGACCCTCCCCCACTCCCTTCTTTTCAGAACTTGCTAGAGGTAAATTCTTTAAAGCACCTGACAAGACTGACCCTGCAGGATCGCATTACCAAGTCTCTTCTTCATTTACACAAGAAGAAGAAACCTCCCAGCATCAGTGCCCAATTTCAGGTTATTTCCTATTTTACTTATAATGAAGAGGGTTTTGTTTTGTTAATATTTTCTCTGAAAGGTCAAAGTGATGGGTAAAAATGCCTGAAAGGGGCATGATTCATTCACTAAAAAGTCATGCTTTACTCCTTATTTTGGAGAGAAGTCCCAACAATTAAAAAGTGTAAGCAGCTTTTCTTTTTCATTCCAAGGACTACAAATTCTATAATGTCATCACACCAAAGGAAAGGTTGCTGGGAACAGAGGATGAAGTTAAGCAGGCAGGTTTGGTATATAACCTGACATGTGGGCCTTGGGGGGGTGTTTGGCTTTTCTCCGACTTTTCAGCGTGCTATTCCTACCTAGGAACACATTCACCAATTTATCTCTCTATCTCTCCCTGAGTCATTCCTGTCTTCATTTCCCCTTTTTGTAAATAAACCTTTTACTATCCGTTTCTGTGTACCTGCAGTTGAGTTTCACTATAAGTACTTTTTAGTTGTGTAGGTAAGGACCCACAGCCAGGTAATCCATTTCACATTGGGGTTGCCCTATAACATAATGACTAGTTTTTTCTGCCAGATTTTAAACTTCAAAATATTTAACTAAATGAAATTGTAGGAATTTTTTTTTTTAATTTTAGTTTTATATACATATATAAATCAATTCCTTTTAGTATTTAGGATTAATATGATCATAATCATTTAGCCATATAACTTTCAAAATAAACTTTAGAATTTCTGATATACTTTTTGGAGTTGAGTAGATTTGGAGTTTAGGGTCCTTGGGTTCACTCTGGGAAAGGTTTCACTAGGGTTGTAAGTTTCCTAGGCATGTGGTAGTAAGTTTCCTAGGCAAGTTTCTCCACAAGACAGAGACATTAGTTATATGTATGTAAATAATAGGGTTATTAGGGAAATGTGACAGAATAAAGGATGCTTGCTTAGACACAGACAAGACAGAAAGGCTGCCCCCAAAAAGGACAGGTTTGCTGACAGAGGCTTTGTATAGTTAAGGGTTGGCAGCCTTGAGGAGAGCTGCCTCTGCTGAGGAAAGTCAGTGCAGAGAAGCCCTGGCATGGTACTGGAGTAGGCAGGAGGCTGCTGCTCTGTGGAGGGAGAGAGTGAGCAGAAAGAATCACCTAGGTGATTCACCTAGGTGGGCAGGACTACTGCCACGTGCCAGGGCAGAGACTGCAATGATATACCCTTCTCTTTGGGAGGGGCTCATTCCTTTGTGGAGTAGCCTGTTTGCTACTAATTTGGGATAACTGGAATCGGAAAGGGATGGGAAATTCCACAATGGGCCCAATCTCTTTATCTTGACCTTCAGGTCTGTGCTCCCTACAGCAGTCTGATATCTCCTCAGTTCTTAAGCGTTTTGATAAGGCACTGGAGCCTAAGGATCTTGATTTCTATAGCTGGTTAATGGTCATGTTAACTCCCCTAACCCCAATTCCTTGTGTGACTAAGGTTTTAATTTTGTCATGCTCCTTTAGGTTTTCTACTCTTTCCTCCATCATTTCTAATACATTGTTAAATGTTAAAGAAGTAATGAGTTTTACATTTGATACTTCAGATAATGCGTGAATAAGAAAATCATTTTCTAATTTTTCCTCCAATAATTCTGAGAAATAAAAATGTTTATTGTAAACAGGTGAGGAAAGTGTAAATGGCAGAGAAGAATGACATCCAGCTTTTATTACAGGACAACTCCAAATGTGAAATGGGTTGGCCTGCCTGTGGGTCCTCCCCTGCATGCTTGAAAGGGACCTACTAATGATACTCAACTGTAAGTGCACACACAACACAAAGGTTTATTCAGAAAAAATGGTATGAAGAGAAGAACAACTCAGGGAGAAAGAGAGAAAGATAAATTAATGAATGTGTTTTATCAGTTCTTCTGAGCTGGGACCCCAGTAGCATGCTGAAAAGCTGAAACAAAATTAAACACCCCCAGGGCCCATATGTCTAGTTATATGCCAAGCCTGCCTTCTTAACTCCACCCTCCGTTCCCAGCAACCCTCCCTTTGGTGGTGATGACATTATGTGATTCTTAGTCCTTGGTATCTTGGATCTCTTTGGTTTTGGGTGGGGATGCAGACCATAAAACCTGCTTGTGGAGTTTATTCAGAACATCCTTTCTCCCCGACAATTTCTGCCTTTTTGTCAACTATTTGTTGGGTAATGAAGGTCAAATGTATGGATGCTGAGCCTCACATGACAGGTTTTTTAGGGCTCTAGTTTGGAAGCAAAACAACCAAGCATTATCCAGCATGGTGAACAAAAGCCCTCCATTCCTGGAAAATAGGTTATCAGTCTAAGCCAAAAGAAAAAATCTGGAAGCAAAACCAAAACAGCAAACATTATATCAAAATTACTGGAAGAAAAATCTTAACAACTGCTTCATCTTAATCTAAAAAAAGTTTTGATTCATGTTGTGCTTTTTAAAATGGCATCAATGATTTAAGTGTTTTATTTTATGCATGTTATACCTCAATAACATAAGAGAAAGAACATGTAACTGTAAAATGTTTGTATGTTGATGTAGTAGAAATGATGGTAGTAACAGGATATGTTTGTAAGTTGTCTGTGCTTTGCTTTAGAGTACCACTCTAAGTAGGCTGCACGATTGTATATGGCAATACCTAGAGCAGCCATACCCAGAAAAGAAAAGATATGATGAAAAAGTTAGTAAATAGAATACTGGAAAACAAAATATGTTCTTTGCTCATGATAGAATTAAAGTGGAAATCAGTAAGAGAAAGATATTTTCCAAATATTTGGAAAATAGGCATCTAAGTAATAAAAGAGTCAGAGAGGTGAGAAATTAGAAAATATTTTAAATGGGATAAAAATGAAAAAACAAAATTTGTGCAAAGCAGCTATCACAGTGTATCAAGTAAAAAGAGAAATTTCTCTTTTTCATTATCTAAGCTACTACCTGAAGAAATTAGGAAAGGGAAAATACATTAACCTAAAGCAGGCAAAAGGAATGAAATGAGAAAAACAGAAATCAATGACACTGAAAATAAAAATAGAGAAAATTCAGTGAGTTCAAAAAGCTAGCTCTTTGGAAAGATACAAAGGTCGGTAAACTTCTATCTAGACTAATCTGAAAAAAAAAAATAGGTAAGGTACAAATTGCTGAATCAGTTACTGTAAGAATCCATGAGTTTGGATAAAATGGTTTCATGAAATGTAAAGAATAAAAATTATTCTAGGCTTAAATTGTATCTGAAATACATCTATCAATATATCTAAAATACACTTGTAGTATTTACTGCTGCCAGGCTATCAGTTTTAAGATTAAACTTGTCCTTAATTATCTAATGTAATCTGTATGGGAATGTATACAATTTGCAACAATTAGTAGTACTTCTAGATACTACTAATTTATCATCCTTATTTATCTTAATGTAATCTGTATAGGAATCTATATAACTTGCTTTTCAGAAACAAACCTACTATTAGATAGCATTAATTTATTATATTTTGTCAACATTATTGTGTATATTTAAATCACTCATTTGCTAGTTTGGATGGTAGAACATGATAATTTATATTCCTTTAAATCACAGGCCTCATTAAGCCAGTTGATGGAGACACTTGGTCAAGCAGAACCATATTTTGTAAAATGCATTCGTTCTAATGCTGAAAAGGTAAATAAGAACTTTTAGATAAGCTTATTGCAAATGAAGCTTTAAATTCTTTCTAGGGATTATAAGCGGAGGGAGGAGCTATCTATACTCTTTGTAGCAAAGCATGTTATATTGTGTATGCATTTCGTTCTAATTTCTGCAGTTATTAGCCTATGAGGCATTTAATCTTTCTGGAATTTGAGAGGCAAACACCTACCTCTTGGTCATAGCATATAGGAAGTGTTTTATGCAACTTTTTTCAGCCCTAAGATTAATCTTTTCTACTGGGATCTAAACTATCATTCTTGAAGAACTGGTGTAGCATTTTCATGTTTAGGGATTCTCGTCTCTGTAAAAACATGGGAGATTCTGTGAACATTTTTGATTCCTTTCTGTTATCTATGATAGTTCCTGTAATTAAAGTTCTGCAGAACATACCTGATTAATGTTAAACAATGTTATCTTTATGTTTATCATAGGAAAAAATATTCCCAGTAAAAACAAATAAAATGTAGTGGGAATTATATTCACCTGTCTCCACCCCTGCTGTTTATAGCTATATGACCTTAGATGAGTTACTTAACATTTCTTGGTTAAATGTTTTCATGTGTGTAACAGTACACTACAATTGCAGAGGCAACCTGAAAGTGTTTAGTGAATATTTGAGTCAGTACCTTTAAAGTTAGAATGTTCCTTATCCATGCTTAGTAAATATTCTTTTAGAAATAAAATAAATCATTTTATTTAAAGTTAAATACAGGGTTAGTTACTGTGATTGAGACATTGATACACAAAGTGTTTAGTTCATAAATTATTTCAGGATACAAAATAAACACTAGGTAAGTGTGAACTACAATGTTCAACATAAATGCCCATTTGACTTTTTTCTTTAATAAAATATGTGGGATTGTCTTAGGGGATCATTGAAAATAATATTTAGAGAAAAAGGAAATATATTAGAAACTCCAAATACATATTTTGAATGTCTAAAAGTATACCTGGTAAAGAGACAGTGTCGTGACTGGTAGGAAGTGATTATCTACCATTAGCCTTTTCCTTGTTAATACCTATACAAAGAGAATAATGCTCAAGGACTAGAGGAGCTTTTTGTTTTTCATTGTTTCATACTGGTATCATCCTCAAAATCTACATAGGAAAATAAAGTACTCTTAACCTGTACTAGTCATCAATAGAATTTATCAGCTCTCAGTTGAAGGCAATGGTTGGGCTTGTTTGTATAGTTTCTTAGTGAGATTAGATATAGAATCATAATATTAAAAAATAAAGTCACTAATTTTATAAAAAGGTTAATCTTGTTACAGATTTTACATCAAGTATACTATAAACATGTAGCCATTTCAGTGAGCAACTAGATTCAGTTTGAGCTTTTAAGAGAAGCTTCCTAGAAAAGCCCCAAAACTTCATTTCTCTCTTTTCCCTAAAGGCAGGCAGTTAGAACTTTACCAAAGCTGCCAGCTGGGGAGGTAAAATTGTTTTCTCTCCTGCAATAGCTTACTGGACAGCCCCCAGTTAATATATAGATATTCAAAAGTTATCCATACTGCTAAGATACATTTTAATTTGGAGTTCAATTCTTACAAGTTAATCTTTTCCCCCCATTGCTATATTTTAGCTGCCATTACGGTTCAATGATGCCTTGGTACTTAGACAGCTTCGGTATACTGGAATGCTGGAGACAGTTCGAATTCGCCAATCAGGATATAGCTGCAAATATTCTTTCCAGGTTGTACTTTTATAGTGATATTTTAATATATATTCACATTAAGTAAATTATTTTTTGCTTAGTTTTTCTTTTTGGGGATCACTTAAATTTAGTTCCCTTAATTCTTCCTTTCCTTTTCATATTTTGTATATATTGGGTTGTCAGAAAAATCATGATGTATATTTTACATGTTTTTAAGTTAAAATGCATCATGACTTATTTTGAAAACCCAATAGAATAGAAGGGGGTATAGAATACTCACTTCATTTAAATAAGAGTCTCCTTAAGCTTCTATTATAGTAAAATCTACGAGGTTCTTTTGATCTGAATGTTTTCTAATGTTGTTTATTCATAATATAGCAATTCTTCACACTGATTACACCAGTAATTTAAATAGTTCAATCAGAATTATTTCATTTCAAAAGAATTACATTAGGTTTTCTGAAGTTTTCTTAGAAAGATTTCTAAGAAATCCACAAGATTTACAACTATGCCTTTCAACTACTGTGTGGTGGTTGTTTTTTTCTTTTTTTTACTGTTTGTTTCTATCGCAAAAGTGTATTGAAATTTTCCTGCAACCGAGAAAGCCTGTGGTATTTTCAATGTATCTTGTAATAGCAGCCACCTCTGTTTATTTTTTGGCTAAATATTTCAGATTCTTATTAAATAACTTATTTTTTGGTCTTTACCATCATTTTGTTTAAGGAATAATGAACTTATTCCAATCTTTTCCCAGTCTCCTTTGATAACAAAATATGTAGAACTATCTATTCCCCAACCAAACATTGTTGTATTTTAAATTAACAAGTATTTTCCTGGTTTCATCCTTTTAAAAAGAATTATAAAGGAACAATTAAAAGACAGTGAACTTGTTTACATTTAATTCTGTTGTGATTTTACAACTTCTTTTTCATTTTCCAGGATTTTGTGAGCCACTTCTATGTACTACTTCCTTGCGATATTATTCCATCCAAACTTAACATTCAGGATTTCTTCAGGAAAATAAATCTTAACCAAGATAATTATCAAGTTGGAAAATCCATGGTAAATATAATGTCAAAATTGACTGCACTTTTGTATTTAAATAATAGCAATGATCTTTGCTTATAAGAATGTTCATTAAAAGATGGTAGTGTACAAACAACCAATCAGAAGCAGAAATAAAAAAAATACAATCATCCCCTTTTCAATTAAAACAAAAAGAATCAAATACCTGGGAGTCAACCTACCAAAAGAGTTTAAGACCTATACAAAGAAACTACAAACACTGGTAAAAGAAATACAAGAAAATACCAAGAACTAGAAAGACATCCTCTGCTCATGGATCAGGAGAATTAATACCATCAAAATGGCCATCCTACCAAAAACAATGTACAGATTTAATGCTATCCCAGTAAAAGTCTCAATGACGTTCTTCAAAGAAATAGAACAAATATTGATGAGATCCATATGGAACCACAAAAGACCTCAAATAACCAAAACTCTCATGACTAAAAAGAAGGAGAATGGAGGCATCACAATCCCAAACTGCAAGCTATACTACAAAGCCATAATAATCAAAACTGCATGGTACTAGAACAAGAACAGACATACATACCAGTGGATTTGAATAGAAAACTCACATATAAACCCACAGGATTATGGCAGCTAATCTTTGACAAAGGAGCAAAGAAGATACAATGGCGCAAAGAAAGTTTGTTCAACAAATGGTGCTGGAAAAACTGGCAAGCTGTTGCAAAAAAAATGAAACTTGATCACTACCTCGCACCATGCACAAAAATCAACTCGAAGTAGATTATAGGCCTAGACATAAGAATGGAAACCATAAAATACCTGGAAGCAAAGATGGGCGAAACATTACATGACAAACACTTCGGTAACATCTTTGAAGATACAGCACCCAACACAACAATAGTGAAGGAAAGGATGAACAGATGGGACTATATCAAGTTAAAGAGCTTCTGTAGAGCAAAAGAGACATTACAAAAAACAAACAGACATCCCACTGATTGGGAAAAAATTTTCTCCTACAAAACTAGCGATAAAGAATTGATCACAAAGATATACAAAGAACTGATGAAACTCAACAAAAATAAACAACCCCATCAAAAAATGGGACAGGAGAGCTAAAAAGACACTTCTCCAAAGAGAAAATGCAGATGGCCAACAAGCATATGAAAAAATGTTCAACATCACTTGTAATAAGGGAGATGCAAATTAAAACTACAATGAGATATCACCTCACACCAGTGAGAATGGCACATCTTAAAACAACTAGCAACAACAAATGTTGGCAAGGATGTGGAGAAAAAGGAACTCTCCCGCGCTGCAGGTAGGAATGCAAACTAGTATAACCACGATGCACAACTGTGTGGAGATTTCTCAAACTGCTAAAAATGGAGCGTCCATATGAACCAGCAGTCCCGCTCCTAGGCATCTACCCAAAAGACACAAAGACACTGATTCATAAAGACACCTGCACCCCCATGTTTATTGCTGCTTTATTTACAATAGGAAAGACCTGGAATCAACCCAAATGCCCAAAAGTAGATGACTGGATTAAAAAGATGCAGTACAATACACAATGGAATATTACTCAGCAATCAAAAAAGATAAACTCATGCCTTTTGCAGCAACATGGATGGAGCTGGGATCATGCTTAGTGAGATAAGCCAGAAAGAAAAAGAAAAATACCAGATGGTTTCACTCAAAGCAGGAGCATAAAGGACTGGGAGAAAATAATAGTAATAAGCAACTATATGCCAGACACATTTTATGGGGGTGGAGTGGGAAAGGGGGTCAAAAATAGGGTGGGGAGAGCAGGCAGTGCACAGGACTATAGTGATGGCACACGGGTGATTTGGTGATGGGAAGCCCACGGGGACTACAACTAGATGTAAAAATAAGCTGTTATAATAAAAAAATATTTTTAATGGTAGTGTAAGAACAAAGATAGTCTCTGGACTGCTACATGCAGAAGAATGTAAACTAGATCACGACCTCATACCATACACAAAGATCAACTCTAAATGGATAAGACCTGAATATAAGACCTAAAACCATACAATACATAGAAAGTATAGGGAAATCTCTCTATGACATATATCTCAGAAACATCTTTAAAGATTCCTCACCTTAAACAAAGAAAATGAAGGGAAAGATAAACTGCTAGCACTACATCAAACTAAATAGCTTCTATACAGCAAAAGAAATAGTAACTGATAAAGAGAATCTCTACAGATTGGGAGAAAGTATTTGCACTCCACAAAACCGATAAAGGGCTGATATCAAACATGTACAAAGAGTTCATGCAACTCAACAAAAACTAAACACCACTCAAAAAGTGGACAGAAAAGCTTAAAAGACACCTATTCAAAGAGAAATGCAAATGTCCAATAGGCACATGAAAAAAATGTTTACAGGAAATTCAAATCAAACCACAATGAGATAGCACTTCATGCCAGTAGGAATGGTTCACATTAAAAACAACAACAACAAGGGCCCTCCCTGGTGGTGCAGCGGGTTAAAGCACAGCACAAAGAAGCTTAAGCCACTTCTGCATGAGTTCGATTCCCTGCCTGCCCCGGAGGAGATCCACATGGCGAGGTAGACCTCTCCTGTCCCGCCCGCTGCTCCCCTCAGCAGTGTACTTTGTCGATCTGCCTGTTCTGTACCCCACTCTGTCTCTGGTGAATCCTCTCACCCTCCGCATCTCTGGCCTGTACCCCAGTTCTGTACAAATAAATAAATCTTAAAAAACAACAACAACAACAAAACTAACAACAAATGGTGATGAGGATGTGAAGAAAAAAGAACCCACTTAAGTTGCTGGTGGGAATGCAAACTGGTCCAACTACTATGGAAAGCTGTGTGTAGGTGTGGATCTACCATATGACCCAGCTATTCCACTCCTAGGAATCTACCCAAAGGACACAAAAATAATTCAAAAAGACATTTGCACTTCTATGTTCATCATAGCACTATTTATAACAGCTAAAATATGGAAACAACCTAAATGCCCAAAAATCAGATGATGATCAAGGAGATGTGGTATATTTACAGAATGGAATACTATCCACCAATCAAAAAGATTAACTTATGTCTTTTAAAGCAATATGGATAGAGCTGGAAGGGTTTATGCTCAGTGAAATAAGTCAGAAGGGAAAAGAAAAATACTGGATTGTTTCACTTATAGGAAGAATATAGGGAAACCTTCAAGGGATTTGGAAAAATAAAAGACAAAACTACCAAACACTAAATTGGAGACATTCATCAAGGCCAGGGGAAAAAAAGGGATCAAAATGGAAGGGAAGAGCACAAAAGTCTCTGGTGGTGGTTCATGGTGGTGGTTAAGTTTATCAGAACACCCACAAGGAGAAATAAAACATTGTACAAGATGAACAACAATGTATTTACAAATTTTAGTATGTGTCTAAAGGGGAGTATATACCCTATTAAGGGACGATGTATACATTATCTTTATATCTCCATCAGTCCCTAAAGGTTAATTTATGGAATCATAGAGCAAATAATTAAACTGATTAGTAGCTTTGGACAGCAAGAAGCCTTTGATACATGCTGAGTACAACAAAGACCGCTATTGTTGGTTTATTTCTATTGTGATCAAACTTCAGTCTATGATTCTCCTTTCCCCTGCACCCCAAACCCCTAATAAAATATGACATATTACCAGCAGTACTTTGGCTCATGACAGCAGTGAATTTTTTGAGAGAATAATGTATCACAATTTCTGGCACTGGGATTTTTATGCTCATGCTCACATTACCATTTCCCTTCCTGCATTTTGGTGTCTGTTTCCTGTCTTCTTTCTATCTTAAAAGTGACCAGATAAATTGATAGAAATGTTTTGTCAATATGGCTTTTACAATTCTTCCACTGTATTTGTTATGCTCTAATACCATATTTCTCATTTTGTGTTATAAATGTCTTTTTATGTTGCATTTTTCATCTTCTGATAGGTCTTTTTAAAGGAGCAGGAACGACAACACCTACAAGATCTACTTCATCAAGAAGTGCTCCGCAGAATCATATTGTTGCAACGATGGTTCAGAGCATTGCTGTGTAGACAGCATTTCCTGAATCTGAGACAGGCATCCATTATCATCCAGGTAGGAAGACAAGGTTTCTTTGCATTAGTGGTAATTTACTTGATCTTTGTGTTGGTAACCAAAATTTTATTACAATGAAACATATAAATGTGAATGGAAATTTCTATAGGGGTGAGATTATGTATTATTCATTTTTGAAATTTTCTTAGCACCAACCGAATACCTGGTTATAATAAATGACTTAGTAAATATTGACAGAATTTAATGTAAATTAAGCTTAAAGTTTTTTTCTTATGAAGTATGAGTTGGGGCAAAGGGGTTTTGTTTCTTAGTTTTTGTAGAATTTTTATTTAATAGTTTCTGAGTGGTATTTGAAAGTTACACTATTATTATCATTATAATTTTAAGATTTATTTATTTATTCATACAGAACTGGGGTACAAACCAGAGGTGCAAGGGCAGTGAGAGGCTTCACTAGAGACAGAGTGGGGAGCAGAACAGGCAGATAGACAAAGTACACTGCTTAGGGGAGCAGGCGGCTCAGGAAAGGTCTGCTATGCCATGTGGGTCACCTCCGGGGCAGGGGTCAAACTCACTGAAGCAGCTGTGGCCAGCTTGCTGTGCTGCATCCTAACCCGTTGTGTCACCAGGGAGGGCCCACATACTTTATTATTATTATGTACTTGGTTGATAGGGATCTTTTTTTTCATACATCTATTTTGTTTCAGTGATTTGTATCATTGGCTTTTTAATTTATACAGGAAAATCTTTAGTATTTCATCTTTGAAATGTGAACATGTTAACTTTATTATTTTTTCCCTAAAGATTTATTTACTTAAGCATACAGAACTGGTGTACAGGCCAGAGGTGCAGGGGCGCTGAAAGGATTCACCAGAGACAGAGTGGGGAGCAAAACAGGCAGATCGACAAAATACACTGCTGAGGGGAGCAGCAAGTGAGACAGGAGAGGTCTGCCCAGCCATGTGGGTCACTTCTGGGGCCAGGGATTGAACTTGCACTGAAGTGGCTACAGCTAGCTTGCAGTGCTACATCCTAACCTGTATTGCCACCAGGGAAGGTCCTAAACATGTTAACTTTAAAGCCATTAACATTGATAGATTATAGCATGAGGATATAATTTGTTAAATTTAATTTATTGGAAATAACAGCATCAACAAATTTTAATTATTTTTCATTTTACATTTAACTTAATTGAGGTTATATTTTCTAATACATTTGTTTTAGTCAAGCATATCTGGGAAAGAATTTTTTTATTTTAGTGACACAGTGTCTCTGTTTAGCTACTTATTTCTAATTATAGCCTAAGAATTGTTTTTCTTTTCCTTGAAAAACATGTTAGATGAAATGTTACAGTTTCCATTGTTTTGTCTTTCCCACAGCGATTCTGGAGAAAGTACCTAAATCAGAAACAAGCCAGAGATGAAATTGTGCAGAAAGATACTTTAGTTATAGCTCAGGCAGCCTCTCTCCTCCAAGCTTCGTGGCGTGCATACCTAGAAAGGCAACGGTACTTGGAACTGAGGACTGCAGCCATCATCATCCAGCAGAAATGGAGGGAGCACTATAGGCAGAGGCATTTGGCTGCCCTCTGCATTCAGACAAGATGGAGAGGTTATAGGGAAAATAAGAAGTATCAAGAACTAAGGAACAAAGTTATCCTTCTACAATCAACATGTAGAGGATTCAGAGCAAGACAAAGGTGATTTCTGTTGCTATAATAATTACTCCTACACTCTTCCCAAGTATCTTGTTTATTTGTAATACTTGCCAAACTTGTTTTTGTACAATTAGTCTTCTCTAGACTAGGAGACATGTAGCAGTTTTGGCCTACACTATGCAGTCTATAATAAAAACTAAATGTTTAGTGAATTCAATTGGGTTGAAAGCCTGTGTGATCTGTGTTAAAAGTTAAACTTTTACATTGGATTGGATCTTTAAAATTGGGCAATATTAACTGTTTTTAACTTAAGAAACTTTAGTTTCATTTTTAAGGTTTATCTTAAAAGAAATAAAGGTTAGATTTTTATTTCTGAGTCATTAAGACTACTCTGCCAATTAGGTATAGTACATTTAATGAAAATAATCTTATTCATGGAACTAGGAAAATTATGAAATGTAGACCCAAGTTAAAGAAATACTCAGATACTATATAAAAAGAAAATTTTGAGACTGACTTTATTTCTTATCAGTAATGTATTTTTTCCAGTGATAATCAAAGAGGTATGTATAACCATTTCCCCATGTTTTTATATAGATTTAAAGCTTTAAAAGAACAAAAAGTAAAAGAAACAAAACTAGAACCTGGGTTGCTGGAATTTGAGTCATATGGACCTCTGGAAATTCAGGGTTCAGACCCTTCAGAATGGGAGGATTGTTCTTTTGACAACAGAGTTCAAGCCATAGAGGAATGTAAAACTGTGATAGAGAGTAATCGCATTAGCCATGAAAGTTCATTGGACGGTTTGAAGGATTCCCCAAACAAGCGACAGGAAAGAACCAGAAGCCAAAGTGGTATAGACTTGCAGGAAGATGTAATCGTAAGAGAAAGGCCTAAGTCTTTGGAGGATCTCCACCAGAAGAAAGTAGGACGAGCTAAAAGAGAAAGTCGGAGAATGAGAGAACTAGAACAAGCTATATTTAGCTTAGAATTGCAGAAAGTCCGTTCTCTCGGTGGAGTGTCTCCTTCAGAGGAACGTAGATGGTCCACGGAACTGATACCTGAAGGCCTTCAGTCTCTGCAGGGTACACCTGATAGTGAAAGCTCTCATGGAAGCTTAGAACTTCTGAGCTATGAGGAAAGTCAAAAGAGCAAATTAGAGTCCATAATTTTAGATAATGAGGACTTGCAGCCTTTGTCATATGAGATATCTGCCAGTCCAATGTTTGATTCACAGAACAGTGCCCTCAGTACTTCAACTGAGACTAAATCGATAGTGCCTCAAAATGGGACATCCTCTAACTCAGTTTATTTGAAGAATGGGACTACGAAGGCCAGGCTGCTCTGCAGTTCTGAATCTGTTACCTGTAAGCCACAAGTGAGAGACTCCTTTATTTCCAATAGTCTGCCTACATTTTTTTATATTCCTCAACAAGATCCACTGAAAACAAGTTCTCAACCAGATACCCGTATCCAGAGGAACAAAGTGTTGGAAAGTGAAGTCACACTTCCAGCTCTTCCTTTGGATATCAGAGGGGAAGCCAGAAAGTATCATTTCTCAGGAGAAAATGCAGTTGTCCCTTCTTCAAATACTGATTCTTCTAACACTGTGCTTAAGAAGTTAGAAAAGCTAAATACCGAGAAGGAAGAAAGGCAAAAGCAGTTGCAGCAACAGAATGAAAAAGAGATGATGCAACAGATTCGACAGCAAACAGATATTCTAGAGAAGGAGCGTAAAGCATTTCAGACAATTGAAACACCAAGAATTGGTGAGTCTCTTCTGGCACCATCTTTCCTTCAATCAAAGCAGAGAACGGAGAGACCATCTTCCCTCCTCATCCTAAATACACCCAAAAAGGGAGAATCCAGTATATTAGGATCTCAGTCAGTAACTACTAAAGATGCAGTTCTTGCCCCAAAAGGCAGTTCCTCTACTCACCTACCCATGAAGGACCGACCTGTGACCATGTTCTTTGAAAGAAAAGGAGGTTCGTGCCAATCTAGTACTGTCAAGGAATTACCCAGTAAAGATAAAATGTTAACCCAACTGAATTCAGCCTCTAAACACTCCAATAATCGCATTTCAAAAAGAGACCATCTCAAGCCCATTCAGTGTTATAGCCACAAATCTGATGACTCGTCCAGAAGTGGAACAACTAGGGAGATTTTCTTCACACCAAAGGACAATACAAATATTTCCTTGTAAGTGAAGTATTTATTTATTCTTATATATGTGGGAAACATCTTGGAGAATTTTATGACAGTCCCAAGTATTTCAGTGAGTGCTGCTTACATTAGCAATTTTCTTTGTTGTTTAAAAAAAAAAAAAAGAAAATTCCCCTAGTTGTTAGCTCTACCAGCCATCTGAAATTGCCTATAACTAATCCCTGGGATCTTTGTGAACAGATAACAGATTTTTTTTCAGTTATTTTAGTTTAATATTTAGTTTCTCCCTACTAAGGGAGAAAGCATACAGTGTCTGGAAATGAACTCTATTGCCCATTAAACAACTCTTCATCTCCTTTCCCTAAAGTCCTTGGAATTCATCATTTTTAAAAAAGATTTATTTATTTATGCATACAGGACTGGGCTATAGGCCAGAGGTACAGGGGCAGTGAGAGGATTCACTAGAGACAGAGTGGGGAGCAGAACAAGCAAATTGACATAAGTACCCTGCTGAGAGGAGCAGTGGGCAAAACAAGAGAGGTCTGCTGTGCCTTATGGGTCACCTCCTTGGCTAGGATCAAACTCCTACTGATGGGGTTGTGGCTAGCCTGAGAGTGCTGGACTTTAACCCGTTGCACCACCAGAGAGGGCCTGAAATTCATCATTCCATTTTTTGTTTCTAGAAAACTACTTTAAATATTTCATTTAAGAGGAAATTCCTTCTATTTTTAAGTTTTCTTTACTAGTGGTAGCCATTAGAAAAGCGTTTCTAATTGGTACATTAAAAACAAATACAACAAATTTAAGATGCTCATATAAAATCCTCATATATAGCTAGTTCTTTCAGTTTTTATAGTAGAATATCATTTTAAATGAAAGAAGGGCTATATCTTAGGGATAAAAAATTGAATTTCATTTTATGTATGAAAATAACTTAGTTGGAGAGTTTAAATCTTTTAGCTTTGGATGTTCATTCAGATTTTATAGAAACTGTTTGTAAATATAGGTAAGAGATCATTGATATTTTATTTTTCCACTAAGTATCATGAAATACAATTAGGCTAAAAGAGGTCCTGTTAACTTAAAGGATTGTACAGAAGTTCAAGGATTTTGTGTATCATATAACCATTAAGGGGATAGTAAGACATATTTCCTGTTATCCTGATTAAGTTTAGTGATATGAAATACTTGGTGTGTATACCTGGTGATCTATGAATACATTTTGTGTAAGAGTTGTAGATTTCAAAAAACGTGAATTCTCTTTGTAAATTACTGCTTTTATTAGTTTCTAAGATAAACTAACAGTCTACTTAATCTGGTTTGTTCTACCTCATTAAAATCCATTTATCTTAAAAATGATTACATATTAGATTATGTGAGAGCTTAATAAATTCATACTTCAAATATGCTCTTGTTTTGCCTTAGCATTTTTTAATGGAATCACAAATACTGGCATTTCTAAATTAGCTAGTTCAGTTCCCACACATTATAGGCAAGACTTAAAATTGGTCATACTCTGACTCAGTCAGTGTTATATAAAGATCAGAATAATCCTTTATGACCCCTAGGCCTTCACTTATAAAAACAAAATAGATTTTGAATGATGTTTGCCAACTGGTATTAAAAGTTAGGTTCTGCATTGAACCCAGCATTATAAAAGAAGGTAAAGTATGATTTCTCACTGAGCTTACAGTCCCTGTGTGGAAAGATTAGCAATATGTTGTTGGTAAATTGTAAAACTCTTGTTACTGAGTTAACAGGAATTGGGCCTAAAAAAAGTACAGATTCTGATCAAATTTTCATTAGTCACTGGCAGTCATTTCAGTAGAATGTAATAATAATTTACTGACAGAATTTAATGATTAAAAAGTCATGTCATGTAGTTATTCAAGTAAAATTTTGCAGACTAATATACCTTCTGTATAGATTAGGGCATACTTCCTTTAGCTTAATAGCAATTTCTTACACTACCAGTATAGGTTTTATTCTGTACAATCTTAAGTGTAAATGTAAGAAAACAGATGAAAACTGCAAAGAGATTTCAGGAAGAAAGGTTACTGGACAATAGAAATCATCTCAGTACAAAACAAAGTATGAGGTACTTATCACTAGGTATAACTCAGGTATTTTATAGTAATTAGTTAGAGTAAAAGACCTCTTGTGGCCCTCCCTGGTGGCGCAGCGGGTTAAAGCACTGCACTGAGAAGCTAAAGCCACTTCCGCATGAGTTCGATTCCGCCTGCCCCGGAGGTGACCATATGGCGTGGCAGACCTCTCCTGACCCGCCCGCTGCTCCCCTCAGCAGTGTACTTCGTCCATCTGCCTGTTCTGCCTCCCACTCTGTCTCTGGTGAAGCCTCTCGCCACCCCTGAGCCTCTGGCCTGTACCCCAGTTCTGTATGTACAAATAAAATAAATCTTTAAAAAAAAAAAAAAAAAAGACCTCTTGTAAGACTACTTGTAAAGATTTGGGGATTTGGATTTGGCTGTTTTCCTATTCAGCATCAAGTCCATTTTTCTTCTTCAGCTGACTGCTGCTGCTATATTTAAAGACATATTATTGTAGAATATATTAGGATTACAATGACAGGGCCTTTAGAAATTCTGATAATGTTAACTAGGTAAGCAAGGAAAGTTTCATACATTATTTTGGGAACTCAATTAAGATTCTGAAATACGGGATTTGCAGAAATGTTTTGACTTGGCTTGTTAGACATTATTTCATGTTATTCTTGAAAATTTCTGCAATGGAATATATCTGCTAGGAATTAAAATTTAATCCTCTTGTTTTATCTTAAAGATTAAGCAAGGAAGCCTTAAACAATGGAAATCCTCAACACCATAAAACAGTTGAACCAGCTTTTAAATCTGTAAAATTGACTGGGCCAGGCCAAAGAGAGGTATGTATTGAATGTAACTTACTTTCTGTGTGAAACAGATGCACAGTGTTCTATAACTTTATTGTTCATGCAGGTAGAACTCTTTACCCAATTGCTCCCAAGTGTTTATAGAAAAAGAAGTCATTTAGGGATGTGTACTTCAGGTAGGGAATGGTTCTTAAAACCCCAGATTGTATTTAGGAAAAAAATTACTAATTAAAAAAAGGGAATTTATGCAAATAACTTTGGTGACTTAATATGGCAGTGAAAGATGACTTCCTTGGCTGTGGAGAAGAACAGTATATTTTTAACATCCATTATTTGTTCAGAGTAATATATATGGATTGCTTTTGGTTGCTCTGCTTACTTCCAGTGGAAAAGGCATGGTGGGTTGGAGGGATGTTTTAAGACATTCATGAGCTCTCTTATATCTTTCCTTGGCCTCATCTCCAAAAAATCCAAAACAAAACATTGTTGTATTATTTGTTTTATCATTTGGTCAAGCAGGTTGCCAGACCGGCCCATAAAAAGAAAGCTCGAATGGCGCGGACGCGCTCCGATTTCTTGACTAGAGGTACTTTTGCTGATGGGGAGGGGGATACAGAGGAAGATGATTATGATGACATTATTGAGCCCCATCTCTCCTTTGACCAAGCTTCTCACTCTGAGCAAGGGCCTGCGCCCAGCCTGGGTCAGGCCTCTCACAGTGACTCCGAAATGGTAATTTTACAGCAATATAAGAAAAAATAAGGGACAAGTAAATCTGATGGGAATAGTCTTTGCTAACCTAAAGCTAACCGTCACAGCTTCTTCCCTGTATCATTGTTTGTACATTGGAAACCTCAGTGAACACAGCAATGAAAGTTAAGCCTTAATTTGATAGGCCTCAGATAAAAGGTACTTTAAGAATGACATATCATAAATTGGTAAAATTAAGATTATTTACCTTAGCACTAATGTAGAAATCTTTTCTCTGTGATTTAAAAGGTATGGAGCTGGGACCCTCACATTTTTTTTCTAAAGTGGCCAGATAGAAAATATTTCAAGCTTCATGGGTCATATAGTCTCTTTTGTAACTACCCTGCCATTATAGGACAAAGATAGCCAGGCAGAATAAGTATACACATGGGCATAGTTGTGTTCAAATAAAAGTATTTACAAAAAGAGGCATTACAAAAAGTATTTACAAAAACAGGGATTATTTGTCCAGTTGCTGATTCTAATGAGTAGGATATTTGTTAAATTATCCGGTAACTTTGAACTGAAATCGTATATTCTTTCTCTCTGACTTTTTGCCCCTAAACTTGCTTCCCTCTCCACCATTTTTAGTAATAGAAGATAACCATAAGTTAAAAAAAAAATTAATGAGCAGTGCTAAGAATTTCTCAGCCTGAGCCAGCTCAGCCAAGTACAAGAGAAAATATACATGTGTACTTATTACATATTATAGCATTAGAATTATGTTTTAATAAAGCTGTATGACTTTGACTAAGAATATAATTTTATCACTCATACTTCAACAAAATTATGTGTATTTATAGTTGAGCAACTATAGGCATATTTATGAAGCGCAGTGTTTGACTTTGGATTTGCCCTGGAAAATATATAAAGGCCCTGTTTGGCTAGTAAATATTAAAACATGATGTGAATTGGAGTAATATGCTACTTATTTCCATGCATATCCTTAATTAAGTTGTATGTCTGCTATTCAGTATCTGTCTATTATGGGAGTAAAATTTTTAAATGACCTTTTTTTTTAAATCTTTGAACTGTTTTAAGCTGTGAAGACCTACTTAATTAAAATTTTTGCTAGTTTCCAGAATGCCTTCATTATCTTTATATTTTGTTGGAGATAGCTTTACTTTTTAAAAGATAACATTGACATTGACATATAGAAAAGAAAAAAGCCAAAAATAACCAGAAAAAATGCATGACTAGCTCCCTAATTAGGCAAATGAGTTACCAACCTGAACCAAACTGTAGGATTGTAAAAATTGGACTGTATATCTGTACAGTCTGTATGTCTATGTATGTAAATACAGATGTAGATCTGTATCTATCTGTTCATCTCTCTCTCCCCTCTCTTTCCTCTCCTTCCTTCCTCTCCCCTTCCTTCTCCTCCCTCCCTTTCCCTTCCCCTCCCTTCCCTTCCCTTTTTCTTTCTTTATAATTTGAAACAAAGACCTCTTCAGTGTAGGATAAAATAATTCCACTCTGGTGTCCCTATTTCTGAGTTATAAGAAATGAAGCACATTCTATCATATGATTATTAGTTAAAAATGAAATTATGTAATAGAGCAAACTAATTTTCATGAAAAAGTACTATATGTATATGTATATACATATATATATAATGTACATAGATTTTTTATTTGTGGAAAAATTTAGTATTATTGCTGTTTAGTTCATGACGGTTTCCTTTGTTACAAATTGTAGTCCTTTTGGTGGTAGAATTTTCACTGGGAACTCTTACTGAGATGTCAAGAAGTTAGACTTTCTGCTTTGAGCATTCAGCTCCTTTAAGGGTTCTAGCTGGTAGCTTCTGCCTATGATTCACCTGCCTGACAGCCACTGCATGCCGGTAGATGTAGAGCCACCCTTTTGCACAATGTTGTTAGTCACTTCTCCAGCTTTCTCACTGTTCCTCTGGTTCATCATGGGCTATTTTAAGAACAGGTGGTGGTGTTTGTTTCTGGTGGACGCTGCATGAAGAAGCTATGCTTTCTAGAATATGCTTATAGTTCACTTACTGGGGTTGGGTGTGGGAGGGTAGGAATGGTTTTAAAGTGTTTTGTGTTTGTCTGAAAAATATGTCCTGTTCTTATGTTATCTGTGAAGATGAAAACTGTGTTCAAGCGGAATCGATTCAATTTTCAGACTTTTGAATAAATTTGATTTTTTCTGGACAGAGTGATCCCATCAACAAAATATTTGCTAAATAAGTATGTCATTAAATCATAATAAGTAACCATCAGATCTTGCCAGCTGTGAAATAATATGATGTGATGTAATGTGATGAGATAGTTAAAAATGAATTACCTGTGAGAATTTGATAGGCATTTCCTCCTCTAAAATCAGTTGGTACCTGGTGTATAGGAATAGAGGCAAGGGTGGTTAGTTTTCCTTCTTAAGATATTGGTGCTGTTTTTTAATGTGTCACTTTTAACTATGCCATTTTAATAACTGTTTAGTCTCTGTATGCTTCTTTTACTCTGTTCTTATACACACTGCATTGGCTTTTACCCAAGAAAATGATGTTTTGCTAGTCAATATTTTGAAGGTGGCTTTCATATATTTTTTGTTTGACCATCTTTTGGATGATGAGTTAGTACAATCAATTCTATCCTCTTTTTGTAATAGAGGTAGTATAGGTAACAATAATAGTCTCTTTGTTTTTCTGTATAATTTCTTCTAACTTTTGCCAGGCTTAAAGCAATAATCTCTTAAATAGCTCCACAGATTCTCAATCTTTTTTACTCCAGTAGATACAACTAAATTCCCTGTGATCAGAGACTGCTATCACTTTTTAGATCCTTATTTTTGATTGGGCATTTTATTACTCTTCTATTCACTTTCAGTATCTTTCTGAGTGGCTTTGACTCTAAAAAAAAATTTGTTTGCTCATTTCTAGTTTAAGTTTTTGAATATTTCTTGGTGCTTCATGATGCTTCATATATAGGAGACATTTACTTCATTTTTGAGCTGTAGTTTTGTAGTTTGTTAAATGATACATTTTTATATAATTTTTTTTTAATGTTTGCTTTGAGCCATAGTTTTTTGCAATATTCTGTGATCTTTTTATACTTTTTGGTGGGAGCTGGGATTAAATATTGAGTTGTTTTGTTCTAATTTTCTATTTTTTTTTTTAAATTTTATTTATGTATAGAAGAACTTAGGTATAGACCAGAGGTGTGGGGGGAGGGTGTGTGAAAGATTCACCAAAGATGAAGTGGGGAGCAGACAGGTGGGCCTACTGAAATATACTGCTGTGGGGAGCAGTTGTTTGGTTCCAGTTTTCAATTTTGTTTTCTTATTGTAGTCGTGTGTAGATTTTGTATATTTTAATTTCTTCTCTCTGTACATTTGGACAAATTATTAAGATAAGTTCAAGAATTTCTTTTTTTGGTCACTGTAGCAAAAATAACTACAGTGTTTTTAGAAGCTGCTGATTCCTCTTTTATTAATGTGTATGTGATGGAGGAAGCAATTTTTTTTGCCTTCTTTTTCACCTTGTTGGATTCAGAACTTTCCCCTTCCAGATCTTTAACTTCCTTATAGTACTCAATCTTCAAAAGACCCCCCTACGTTTTAGTTTGGAAATAGTGCCTTTAAAAATGTGTCACCTTGGGCCCTCCCTGGTGGCGCAGCGGGTTAAAGCACAGCACTGAGAAGCTAAAGCCACTTCAGCATGAGTTCGATTCCCGCCTGCCCCGGAGGTGACCACATGGCGCGGCAGACCTCTCCTGACCCGCCCGCTGCTCCCCTCAGCAGTGTGCTTTGTCGATCTGCCTGTTCTGCTCCCCACTCTGTCTCTGGTGAAGCCTCTCACCGCCCCTGAGCCTCTGGCCTGTACCCCAGTTCTGTATGCACAAATAAATAAATCTTAAAAAAAAAAAATTAAAAAAAAAAAAGTGTCACCTTGAATCACTGTAGTTCTGTTTTTTGCCTTTAGTCAGTCCCTAACCTACCCATAGTCTGTAATATTTTCGTAGATAGAGTGGACTTTCTCTGTGATCTTAAATCAATTCCAAACCTATTACTATTTTTATCTTCTCTTTTGCATAATATTTTTTTGGAATGCCTTGTTAGTGCAAACACCTCAGTGGGTAGTAAGTGGGGGCTTGCTAAGATTAATTTTTTTTTCTGTCTATAGGTAATTTAAAGTTTGAGTGCTTCCCTCCCCCCCATTGATTTCAAGTGTAGGTTTCCTGTGATTTAGTTTTTCTTCTGATTCTGTATTGTTTTTGGCAATATGTCATGATATTTGCATTTATACGAGTTCCATTATTCTCAGCTTCCTGAAAGTCATTTTTAAGACTATAAATCCCATTTTTTTCTGTAGCAATTTATTTTTTAAGATCATAAGATTTTTTCTTTCTAATACATTTTCTACATTTGAGTGTTTTGCTCATCATAACCCTGTTTTGTCATTTAAAATGGCATTATACATTTATAGGAAATATAGGGATAAATGTCCATATAGATTGATTGCTTAATCATCTCTGAGTTTGAATTTTTTGAGGAAAAGACTTTATATATAGATGGAGGTAAGTATATCCTATACCATGTTAGGGGCCAAATCTCGTTTTCTGGTAAAGTTGATCATAAAATCACGTATTATTGGCCTAATTCTGGGTTTATTGGTATATTTTTATAGTAGAGTCAAAATACTTAAAATGAAAAGCACAAGTCTTCTGTGTATTCGCTGATGATTTTGACATATACATGCAGTCATGTACTCTGTACTTACTTCTGACAAGATTTTTGGCACCAATGTAAATTTCTTTCATATTTTTACTTAATTTTTTTCTTCCTTTGTTCTTATCCTCAGAAGCAACTGCTATTTTAGAACATTGTGTAAAAGTAACCAATGATAATATGTCCTGTAGTAGGCAGAATTCTAGAATGACCCCACAAGATTACTAGCCTTAGTGAAAACATACTTTTTCTCAATCCATTTAATCAGATGCTAACCTAGGCTCTGTTGGGAAAGAATATTGCCCATGTTATTAAAGACTCAAATCAGCTGACCTCAACATAAGAGTGTTATCCATGGTGGCCTGACCTAAATCACATGAGCCTTTAAAATAAGAGGAAGGCAGATTTTTAGTATGTGAGTATGTGCTGTTGGCTTGAAGTTGTCTTCATGTTCATTCATTTACTCATCTTTTCTTCTACAATGTCAAATCTGCTGTAAGTTCCATTCAGCATAATTTCCATTTCAGATACTGAAGATTTTCATTTCTATAAACTTGATTTAGGTCTTTTTTATATCTCCTTTTTCTCTTCTAACCTTTTTAAGCATATGGGATTAAATTATAATTACTGTTTTAATAATGTTACTTTTGATTCCATAACGTTTGCACCAGTCTTGAGTCATTTGAGATAGATTTGTCTTGGTATCTGTCATATATTATGTATTTGCATATCTAGTTATTTCTTGCTGGATTGTAATTTTGGCTTGTTGAGTGCTGGATATTTTGTATTTGATTGATATTCTTGAGATTAAATTTCTGTAATAGTCCCAAACTTTGTTGTGGAAGTATTTAATCCTTTCATGTCTCCGTTTCTTTTTGAAAGTTTTGTTTATTTTTTCTTTTTATGCATACAAGAACTGGGGAACAGACCAGAGGTGTGGTGGATGAGAGCATTCACCAGAGACAGTGTGGAGAGCAGAACAGGCAGAGTGATTGAAACACACTGCTGAGGGGAGCAGGGGGCGGGTCAGGAGAGGTCTGCCCTGCCATGTGTGTCACCTCCCTGGCCAGGAATAGAACTTGTGCAAAAGTGGTTGTACACAACTTCATAGTGCTGCACTTCAACTCATTGTGCCATCACAATGATGTATTGAACCGGAAATTTGCTAAGATAATAACTCTTAGGTATTTTTACCACCACCCTAAAAATGTGGGTGAGGAGATATGTAGTAACCATTTTATTATTATTTGTATATCAGGTTATGTTGTTCACATTAAATGTAGAGAGTTTTTAATATGAAACAAAGTTTTGTAATACTCAAAAAGAATGTATTACATTTAGGCGCATTACCTTAACTATTCAGGTATGATTCACTGTGTAGTTTATCAAATGCCCTAGAATCATACAATTGTATACTCTTGACTTTTGGGCATAGGCACTATTATTGCTGACCTATTTTTGAGTGCTGGGCTCTAGTACTATTAATCCTTTGATATGGCTCTTTTCATAGAAAAGTGTTGCTTAGTACTGAGTTAAATACTCCAGGGGACCCTCTGACAGTCTCCACAGTATTTGTGTGTGTTTGTGTACATCTCCCTTCTGTCTCTTTTGGTTCCTAGTCAATGTGGTCACTCTGGAATTTCATTTTCACGAGTTCAACCCACTGTTCAGGCTCACTGAAGTCTCACCTCTCTGTATGATAGCTTAGTTCTGTCTCCGCACTGCCTTGAGTGCTGGATATTTTGTATTTGATTAATTACAAAGTTAGGGCAGATGCTGGATTCTTCCTGTTTCTTATCTTGCAGGGATAGCTGTCCATCCGCTGATAACTATTTCATATTATTTTGGTTCTTTTGGTTTGCTTAATTTTAGTTTTGGTTACATCAGCCAGGAGAACAAAAAAGCCACTACTCTATTTTGGTGAGAAGCAGACTTCTGTTCTTGAAATTATAACAACTAAGCATGCTTTCTATTTCTGTGGAGAAGACCGTAAACAAGCACACCAAAAGACTAAAGAAAAGATTAGAACTAAAGAAAAATGAAATGTTAGAAAACCACTGGACTAGATTTAAAAAAAAAAAAAAAAAGCTCCTCTCCTCTGAATGGGAATATGTCCTCTTAAAGTGACACACTGTAACAAATGGGAAAGATTATCTGTAGAAATTCAGGTCCTTGATAGCTATGTAGATTGTTTATAATTTACACCATCAATATTAATGGTATTTTATTCTTCCCCCCCCCCCTTAATCTTTGTGGGTTCTAGCATTTAAATCATTGGCTGGAAATAATGAGAATCTATAGTAGCAAGTTAAGCCATAAAAATAAGTATCACCTTTTATGGATAAATGAATGGAGTTATGAAAGATTATACTTAGCTTTCTAGATTTATTTTAGGTTTTAATTTTTTCTTTGCCTTTCTACTTTAAATTGTCAAAAAAAAAAAACTAGAGTTGCTACATTCTGTATAAAAATTGCTGTGATCTGAGTTCTACATTTTAGATTACTCAAAGTTTTAACAGAGATTTTAGTAAGTTCTTTTTACTTCTATGGATCTCTGAATTATATGAATGTATTTTTGAACATTTTTAAATAGGTATGATTCTTAAAAATTCTATAAGCTGAATTTTAATTACAGTGGTATTCTGTTGGTTTTAAAATCTTTTACATAATGTAATTATTACAGACTTCACAGAGATTTTCTTCAGTTGATGGAGAAGCAAAACTTCATAAGACTATGTCTCAAGGAGAGATTACAACATTGGGAATGAGACAGAAGGCTTCAGATTCAGATATAAGGTACAACATAAAAACTGTTAATGGGGGGGTAATGTTATTTTATTTGGTAAGTGATTATAGTTAAATACTGAATCTCTTTTTTAAAGCAAAACTCATAAAACAACTAGTTTGAAATTAATTTTTACCAATTTTTCAACAATTTGACAGACACATTGTGTACATACAGGTATGTGTGTGTGTGTATATAGACATGTATGTATAAAACGAGCTTTATCTTTCTCTATTTAGCAGTGTGACTTGAGCAAAGCCTCTAAATCATTTTATGACCTATGATTTTTTTTGTTGATATTGAAAATATTTTCCAGTTTTGGATTTGGATTCTGTTCTGAGTTAATGGAATTAGAAAAGCCTCTCAGGAAATAATTATGTTCTCTTTAAAAGATAATATGGAATTTTTATTCTCCTGGTAAGTATTTCGTCCCTTACTGTATGGAATAAGGAACTTGAGCCCTCATTGGACACTGATCTTGAAATCTGTGTGAGTCATAACACTATTAAAGATCACTTCCTCAAAGACTGTAGAAATATAAGGCCAAATAATCCAAAGCCAGAGCAGATTATGTTGGAGATCAAATTTTGGAAACATGATATAATGTAGTAGAAAAAAACATTAAATCTGGAAGTTTAAATATGTAAATTTAATTACCACTTCTTCCCCCAAGTTTGCTAAAATGACAAAACATACAGGACTAAAAAAATAAGGGGGGGAGCAGGAGAGAGGCTAACAACTATAAAGTTTTGGACTCCAAAAAGTAAGTAGACAAAATTTAGATGTTTCAATAGGATACTGAATCCTAAACCACTGGGTAACTAAGAAAAAAGCATCTATCTGACTGACTGACTTTCGTCAACACTAGCTGAAAATAGAATATTTTGGCGGGAGAAAGGATGAAACAGAAGGTCTTTACACTTGTAGGTTACTAGATAACAGCTGATGAGTAGGGTACATATTTGGAACAGTAGCATTTACACATTAGATGTTAAGATCCTCCAGCTTTTATCCTTTACTCAGCTTTCACATTTCACAAACCTTCTAAGCAGATGCTTCTCAAAGAGCCTTTGGGCATTTTGTCTCTCAAGGAAAGATCTAAAGATGCTGTTATCAAGGGCTCTTTTTTACAAAATGGACTAGCCAGATAACCCTATAAAGAAGAACACAGGTTGGAAACTCCATCATTGCACACCAGAGCATTTTATATTAATCCTACTTTTGTTGACCACACACTTGAGGAGATACGTTATATGAAAGAAACTAAAACAGATAAAATACAACATGGAGGAAATAAACTGCAAGACAGACAAAAATATCTATAGAATATCTATAAATAAATATTAACTGCTTCCTTAAAACAATGCATGAAAGAGAAATATTCATAATAGAAAGTCCTTGAAATTAAAATATATGGTATGAAGGAATAATTCAGAAAGAAAAGTTAGAAAATTGAGGACACATCTCAGGAAGATGAGCATTAAAGAACAGAGATGGGCCCTCTTTGTGGTGCAGTGGGTTAAAGCGCAACACTGTGAAGCTGGCCGCAGCTGCTTCAGTGTCAGTTTGATCCCTACCCCGGGCTGATCCACATGGCACAATAGATCTCTCCTGTCTTGCCCACTTCTCCTCTTAGCAGTGTACTTGTCAATCTGTCTGTTCTGCTCCCCAGTGTGTATGGTGAATCCTCTCACCGCTTCTGCACTTCTGGCCTATACCCCAGTTCTGTATCCATAAATAAATAAGTCTTAAAAAATAAAGAACAGAGATTTTTAAAAATAATAAAGGGCAAAAAGAGATGGAAGAGATCAAAAAAATTACCGAGAAAGTAACAAAGCAAGTTCTGGAGTTCCTATGGCCCACTAATAGAAGCTCTGTAAAGACAGAACAAAGAAACATGAGCAAAACATCACTAAACAATTCATGTAAATTTCATAGAATTGATGGACATAAATTTACAGATAGAAAGGTCCTACCGATTGTCCAAAATTGTGGATAAAAAATAGACCCATACCAAAACATATGAATACACAAGGCACAAAAATAATCTCTATTATGATGGTGAAAGTAGCTTTGCAAATGACAGCTTTTCAGCATACGCTGCAGTAAATCATGCCAGACTAAAGCAGGCTAGAAGGCTCTGAAAGATATTTCTTCTTGAAGATAAAACCTGTAAATACTTAACTATGTTTGAATATGTTGAGGTATTCACAAATGGGGAAATTCTTGGAGGTGAATTACATTTAGAAAAATGAGCAAATGTAAAGCAAAACAATTCTAAAATAAATTATACAGGGAACTATATGTCTCTGTTGTCATTCTTATTTGCATAATAAAAATAGCAAATAATGCTGTATACTGATCTAAAATTATAATTGGATGCATGCATGTGTTTGTTAAGGGAGTAGGATAGAATGTTGGAATGTGCTTAATCATTATTTGCATTTACAAGAGTGATAAGAATATAAATATTTATAGGAATATAAATATTAAAAAAATCAATTCAAAATTATTGCCCTGAGAGTTGCAGAAAATAGCTGAAAAAGGTTGATGGGTGTTGTATCTTGTAATAGGCCTGTGGAACAATTTCTGTTTCTATTGTACAAATATCTTAGTAGTAAACTTTAAAAAATGAAACAGAGGAAAAAAACATGGGCTTCAAAAAAGACCTGAGTTTTAGCTTTTATTTCCATCAGTGCTCTAATTTCAATCTGCATTTGTGTAATGTGATGGTTGTGGAAATTAGACATATAATATATAAGGTGTAGTGCTCAGATTTTTTTATTTACCGATTAAACATACAAAGGAACAGAAAGTTAATATATTAATCAAGCTCCTGTTGTATTGTTAAGGTATCCAATATAATGAAAGTGAACTGTTAATCATCTTTAGATGTTTCTTTGACTTATGAAAAGGGAGAAAGTATATAAACACTAAGAATTAGGCAGTGATTCGCAACTGTGTCATTCACCAGCTGTGTAACTGTGAAAGTTACATAATGGTTAAGCCTCCTGTTTTTTTATTGTAAAAGGTTATGGTAGTTTGAAAATTAACTGGGGTAATGCTATACAAACAGCATTCTGCTTGCAGCAGTAATTCAAATAAGTGGTTGCTTTTGTTTAATTATAATAATTAATTACTTATGAATATAAAAATGATGCTGTAAAAGCTTTTATTATATAATGGTAAGTAGGAAGATTTACTAAGTCCAAGCTAGAAGAGGTTGAGAATGATAAGATACCAGTCTTAGAATCAGAAAACCTGTGTTGGAATCCTGGTTCAACTCCTTTGTAGCCATTTTGGTTTAGGGAATGATTGAATGTGTCCAGGTCTAATTATTTCAGTATTCAAAATGAGGAGACACTACCTTCCTGGTGAAGTTTAAATATGATTGAATTTAAATGTGAACGTAAAATAAACTAATACATATGGAAGGTCTTCATATGAAATGATATACATATACTGTCACAGAGATATGCTGACTTCATTTTGCTTTTTTTGTTTTAATAGACCTCACAGAGCTAAGATGAGATTCTGGGCCAAAGGGAAACATGGGGAGAAGAAGACTACCAGAGTGAAACCTGCTACTCAAACAGAGATCTCAGAACTCTTTGCTGCCACAACTATTATTCCAGCTCATCAGTTTACAGATGGTAAAATAAATAGGCAGAGTGGAGATTGTTTTCATAGTATCTGCCCTTCCTCCCTGTCCTTTATCTTCCCTCTTCCTCCCCTCTTTCCCTCTATTTTTGATTGAGGTAATATTAAGATACCCCCATCAGGTATTGCTACCATGGTACACCCACCACCAAATCACCTGTAGTTCACCATTGTCCTTCCTACCTCTTTGTTCTTACTCCTACCCCAACCCCTCCTACCTCTGGATACTTCAGTTTGCTTATTCTTTCTTAAAGTTTGCTATTCTTCCAATGTTCATTTCTGTTGACCATAAATTCTAATGAGAGAGAACAGGATTATTAAAATCCTTCTTTAAATAAATGATGTAAAATTACATTGAACCTGCAGTAGATGTTTCAAGAAAATGTTGCACAAAATAGTGAGCAGCAAGAACTTGAAAAATGGTTGTTTTGATTAACCTCAATTTCTGAAGTGTAAAAATGTAAGCAACTTCTACTCACTTAACAGATGTGTGTGTGTGTGCATGCATGTATGTATGTAAATAGTAAAATAAGAGCAGGTAATATTTGAGTGCTTACTATGTACAAAATTGTGCTAGTATGTTGTACTTATTAATTGATCCTTACAACAATTTTATGAGTTGGTATGATTGCTTTTGCCAATTTGTTTTTCCACCCCTACCCTATCCTCTTTTCTCTCTCATCTCCTCTATCCTTTCCGCTATTCCCTCTAGTAAACATCTTCTTTTTGATGAGTTCGTTTTTTTCCTTCTATTTTCTGTTTTTTGCATATAATTGTTTTTTGGGTATTTATATTCTGCAGATGAGTACAACCTTCCAAAAATCTTTCACTTTTTGACTGACTTTACTGAGTATAATTACCTCAGGATCCATCCATTTTATCCCATCTTTCTTTATAGTTCTGTAATATCCCATTGAGTATATGCTTCACAGTTTATCTATTAATCTGTTGAAGGTCACTTTGGTTGGTTCCATAATGTAATGATTGTGATCAGTACAGATAATATATATGTATATACATACACATACATACATACATACCTACACACACATACATACCTACATATATACATATATATATATATATAGAGAGAGAGAGAGAGAGGAATTACCATTTTAATGTTCTAAATCTCCATACTGTTTTCCACAGGAATTGTACCAGCTTGCATTCCCAACACAATGAATGAGAGTTATTTTCTTCCCACACTCACAAACATTTATTGCGTTCATTTTTATATGGACTATTCTTAAAGGGATGAGGTAATATTGTAGCATGATTTTAATTTGCATTTATTTTATAAGAAGTGATATTAAACATTTTTTCATTTGACTATAGGCCATCTGAATGTCTTTTTTTATTTTAAGCTTTGTTTACTTATGCGTGTAAGAACTGGGGTCAGAGGTGTGGAAGGTGACAGAATTCACCGGAGACAGTGATGGGGAACAGGACAGGCAGATGTACTGAAATTCACTCCTAAAGGGAGCAGTGGGCAAGACATGTATGCCATGTGGATTAGCATACTTTGTTAATTTGTGGAGATTAACCCCTTGTCAGGTATATATGATATGCAAAATTGTTTTTCCTATTCTGTAGGTTACCTTTTGTTTTTATGATGGCTTATTTAAGGTACAAAAGCTTTTAAGTTTGAGGTAGTGTTACTTGATTATTTTTGCTTTTGTTTCCCTTGCTCTTGGGGTTGGGTCCTCAATATATCTTTGTGGTAGACATCTTGTGCTTGTGGTTCATTCCCTGTATTTTCTTTCAAGTACTTTATGATTTTAATTCTTATGTCTTTAACCCATTAGTTAATTTTTGTTTGGTATTAAATATAGGTCTTGCTTTATTTTTTTGCATATGCTATTCATGTTTCCCAGTACTGTTGAAAATGCTATCTTTTCTCCTTTGTAGGCCCATAACTTCTTTGTCAAAGATTATTAATCTTTGTCAAGGATTAATATTGACTTATCTCCAGGTTTTCAATTCTTTTCCATTGGTATAAGTTCTGTTCTTATTCTAATGCTATATTGTTTTGATTACTGTTGCTGTGTAATATAGTTTGAAGTCAGGAAGTGTGATGTCTCCATTTTTCTTTTTTTCTCACAAGATTGTTTTTGCTATTTGTGGCATTTTATGGTTCCACATAGATTTGGTAATTGTTTTTTCTATTTCCTTAAAAAATGCTTTGTTATTGGGCCCTCCCTGGTGGCGCAGCGGGTTAAAGCACAGCAGTGAGAAACCAAAGCCACTTCTGCATGAGTTCGATCCCCGCCTGCCCCGGAGGTGACCACATGGCGTGGCAGACCTCTCCTGACCCGCCCGCTGCTCCCCTCAGCAGTGTACTTCGTCGATCTGCCTGTTCTGCTCCCCACTCTGTCTCTGGTGAAGCCTCTCACCGCCCCTGAGCCTCTGGCCTGTACCCCAGTTCTGTATGTGCAGATAAATAAATCTTTAAAAAAAAAAAATGCTTTGTTATTTTGCTAGGTATCATATTAAATCTGTAAATTGCTTTGCTAATATGGCCATTTTAATGATGATAATTCTTCCAATTTGTGAGTATGGTCTATCTTTCCCTTTCTTGGTATCCTCTTTGATTTCTTTTGAATTTTAATAGTTTTCATCATACAGGTCCTTTACTTCCTTCATTAACTATATCCCCGTTTTACCTCAATCTTTTTAGCATTTTTGTACATGGAACATTATTCCTTATTTTCCATTCTGATACATTGTTTGCATACAGAAATGCCACTCATTTTTATGTGTTGGTTTTTCTGTTCTGCCACTTCACTGTATTAATTTATTATTTGTAGAATTTTTTTTTGGTAGAATCCTTTGGTTTCTCTA